ATAAAAGAGTAATATGCAAATTGACATCACTCCAACACACAAGATGGCTGGCCCCATGTGGATACAAGATGGCTGCCACAAGATGGCCAGCAGGGTAGAAAAGTTGTGAGGGACCAGTCCTGCAAAGGAGGGCAGTTGTGGACAATCAAGCCTGGAGGAGAGGGCAGTTAGGGGTGGCCAGGCTAGCAGGGAGCAGTTAGACATCAATCAGGCTGGCAGGGGAGTGGTTAGGGGGTGATCAGGCAGAAGCAGTTAGGGGCAATCAGGATGGCAGACAGGTGAGCAGTTGTGAGCCAGCAGTCCTGGATTATGAGAGCGATGTCTGACTGCCTGGTTAGGCCTGATAGGATCGGGCCTACACGGGCAGTCGGATATCCCTCAAGGGGTCTCACATTGGAGAGAGTAAAGGCTGGGCTGAGGGACAACCCCCCAACCCGCATGCACAAATTTTGTGCACCGGGCCTCTAGTGGAAATTATAAGGTTTTAAAGGCCCTCTTGAGGGCCTAAAATATAACGTATTTCTCCTCATTATGGCAAATTCATATCCATTCTAAAGTTGTAGGATGACTAGCATATTTCTGTGAGGACATTCCTCCTTCTCCCACTCTTTACTCCTTCCCCACCCCGCTTCAAATAAGCAGTACTTTCTCAGGGTTTCTGTATGTTGTTCCTAATATTTTTACAGCACGAATCACTTAACATTCAAGTTCACTGTCTTGAGTTGTAAAATACATATCGTACTACCTTATGGGCACCTCATAAGGATGGGGCCATTCTTTACCTTCTGTCCTAGCATTCTCCACAGTGCTTGACACACACTGGTCAGTACAGCTGGATGAATACTTTAAAAGTAGCATTTAAATAGTCAGCTCTTAAAAACACGTAATTATTAAGACCGCATTTGTTCAAGAGAGCCTTCCAATGTAAAGAAGATTGAGCAACCTCATGCCATAAATCAAATGTATATGCTTTCCCCTCCAGTTATATATTTAAAAAATCTCTCCAATGTCTGTGAGTTTGATCCATGTGACTTTATGCTTAATAGATCAATATAATTCCTAAAAAAAGCAATAGTAAAAGGAATATATTTCAGCCAGTTTATGTAAGTCATATGTTCCTGAAAAGAAAATACAAATATTATCTAACTATGAATATCACAGATTATGCTCTCACTATACTTCTCATCTTAAAGCTACAATAATTATTGGTCTAAATAATAATTGATCTAAATAATAATTTAGACCTGTAAATGATTGGTCTAAAGGTAGCTTTAGACTAGTCTTAAGATAACTTGTGACTATCTAAGAGTCACATTTTATATAGGCCAAATAAAATTAATTTCTCCATCTTCCAATTTGTGACACATCATTGACAATTCTGAGCCTCCATTTCTCTCCCCCCCCCTCATTGCAATAAAGACTTTAGAATATTTTGCCTTGACATGTTCACAAAACTTTACCTAAAAAAGAGACTAATAAGCATTCATCTTGCTACTCACTAAAATATCATTTTTGTAATAAGATTTTTAAGTTTTCTCTAACATAATCTTATTTAACAGGTTAATACAGGAAGCTAGCTATTATTTTATCCCCATTCTGTGTATAAAGAACTTTAGTGGTTCATCCAGGAGCACCTACCGCCTGTGTGCTCAGGCAGAGCCAGGCCTGGAGCACCATTCCCTGAACACAACTACTAGACCACTACCCTGAACAGAAGACAGAGGTCTTCAATGTATTTCCATTTCCACAAACATTGGTACGGAGGGTCTGGAGCTCCAGACTCCAATATAATAGAAAAAGAATCACAAAGAGCACACACTGCCTTTCAAACCCTGGCTGATTATATGCCATTCTTACTCTGTATTCTTACCCCCTCACAGGCAGATTCTTTTTTTTTTTTTTTAATATATTTTTATTAATTTCAGAGAGGAAGGGAAAGGAAGAGAGATAGAAACAACAATTATGACAGAGAATCATTAGTTAGTTGGCCCCTGTATGTCCTGCACCGGGGATCCAACCTGCAGCCCTGGTATGTGCCCTGATCGGAATCAAACTGTGACCTCCTGGTTCCTAGGTAGACGTTCAACCAGTGAGCCATGCTGGCTAGGCCAGATTATGTTTTTTATACAAGGCATCAGTGGATTTAAACCAGAGAGAGAGGTTTAAACTCATTACTGAAGTGACCGCAGCATATACTACGTGGGAAGTGAGGCTGTGTGGTTAATGGACAACTTCAAAGATCACTGAAGGTTTCCCTGATACTTATGAACAAGAACCAAGTTTCACAGCATTCCCCCTTTCAAAATAGCACATATACTGCTGATGTAGGTGAGGGAAAATGGGTATACAAATGGAACAGGACAATAGTCACTCATATTCTACATTTGCTCTGTTAAAAACTAATTTAAAACTTTTAAAATTGCCACTGCTTTCTGCCATATTTAAACACTTTTTTTTTTTTTTTAAAGTAGAAAAAGCTAACAGTGTCACTGAAAATTCACGGGTTTTTAGTATTTGAGATATAGTATAGAGTAGACAATTGTGCATTAATATTTTGATATAAAAGTGCAAACCTAGCCGAGACTGGTTTGGCTCAATGGATAGAGCATCGGCTTGGGGACTGAAAGGTCCCGGGTTCGATTCCGGTCAAGGGCATGTACCTTGGTTGCGGGCATATCCCCAGTAGGGGGTGTGCAAGAGGCAGCTGATCGATGACTCTCTCTCATCGATGTTTCTAACTCTCTATCTCTCTCCCTTCCTCTCTGTACAAAATCAATAAAATATATTAAAAAAAAATGCAAACCTAGTTTGCTTTTTAACTTGATTATATTTATTCTTTATAAACAGTTTAAGAGCTTTAATGCGATATAATTTATAGACCATAAAATTCACTTATTTTAAGTACACAATTCAATATTTTTAGGATGTCTACTGAATTGTGCACCCATCACAATCTAATTTTTGCACATTTATATTACTTCCTCCCAAAAAAACAAACAAAACTAGTTTTCTTTTAACCAGAAGAGAATCAATGCCTAAAGCCACTTTACTACAGTGAGATATTTGATTTGAAAATCTATGGAAAATCTATGACCCACTTAGCTGGTATGATATAAATTTGAAAAGTTACATACTGACATTTAAAGAGCAAAAAAACAGATTCCAAAAGCAATCTAATTGGCAAACTCTAATTGTGGTATAAGTTCAGCATCTGTATGTTGTATTAAAAAATAATTTTAAATGTTCCTTTATATAGTTGATATCAGCAGGAATGCAGCAGTTATTCTAGCTCGTAGACCTCAGAGTCCTATTAATGATTCCAAAGATAGTGCCAGTGTCACAATCATAAACGTAAAGATTTTTGTTGTTGTTAAGCCTCAGCCTAGGATATTTTTCTATTGATTTTTTAGAGAGAGGGGTAGAGAAAGAGAGAAACATCAATGTGAGAGAGACACATTGATTGGTTACCTCTAGCACTCACCCTAATCAGGGCCAAGATCAGAGATCAGCCTGCAACTGAGGTATGTGGACTTGACAGGAATCAAACCGGAGACCATTATATCTGTGAGCCAAACACTCTATCCACTGATCCAAACCGGCTAGGACAATCTAGTGTCTCACACACACTCACTGTAGGGTTATGATAACAAATTTCAATATAAAGCAACACCAACAGTGGCAGAATTTTAAGACTAGTAAAGAGTGTAGGGTAAATACATTACATCAATGCAAATATCAGTGAAATCAGTTATTTGCTTTGGTCTAATGTCTGAAGATTTAAAAGTCTCTAGGTTATTTTATCTCCAGACTTCTAATTTTATAGGGGAGATCTGACTTGCAATAGCCTATTAAATATCAAAGAGAAACCTGTAGAATAAGGACCAACTAATTTGTTCAGGATGGTAAGCAGAAGGCCACATGCATAGTTTTCATTCTGCAGATATCATTTAAATAGATAACTTTGTTAAAATTGGCATGGAAATGAAGAATAGATTGGTCTATGTCCAGGAATTTGGGCTAATACTGGTTTCTGACAGTCAGCCAAAGATCAAGAAGACCTTGATTATGATGCTCACACAACTCTGGGCTCCAGTGCAGGTCCAGTTGTATTAATGACGATGACATAAAACTTGGCTACATCTACTACACAGCATCTCCCTTCAGCAGCAAGAATTTTCAAAAGATTGAAAAAGCCCTCCATTTCTGAAACTTTCTTCAGTAATAACATTTTTTCTGAAAGTTTAGAAAATCTCCAATTCATGAAACTTCCTTCCCAGTTTGTACTTTCCAAAACATGCTTAGCAACACGAAGAATGACTGAATAGGGCATCTCAACTGCGAGTAAGGAAATAAGTGAAAACTGCTTTTAAGCTAAATTACAACTTCATAATCATGGTTATTACATATCCTAATTCATTTCTTCTGAAGTTGTCATGAGACCTCCCAAGTATGTAATTCAACATTATAAACATTATATCATCACAAATCTGATGAACTTAAAATTCCCTTACGCAAAATTTAATTCAGACTTGCCACATAGTGTAAATACATTCTCTCTGCTAAAAAAAATTGATTAACACTGTGTGAGACAGTACAGCCAACTCTTTCATTATTCTTAATTCTCAGGTAGATTTTGATCATGAGCACGCATCACACAAAGAGGTAAACATGCAAGTAATAATCTGAATTTCATTTTACCCAATATATCCTCTCTCCTCCTCTAGATCTTTCCACAGATCTTCTAGTCTAAGAGCAGTCCTAACTCGTTTACAATTTATCCCTTTTATTTCTCCTGCCAGATCTCTGGAGGAGATGTTAATGAGTCTAGTAATGGTTTAACAGGCAGCAGGAGAAATAACAAAGACAAGCTAAAGGTGTGAATAATCAACAGGCTGGAATAATTGAGTTCTGTGTAGCTAAGTTAAGGAAATATCCAAGTGAGACAGCTCACTTCTGTAGGCACATTATTCACCTAGTGAAGGTGAACGGGAAAAACATACCTGCTTGGCCAGTGGTGACACTGACAGCAGCGAAGAGCCTCTGGGATCGGCTTAAGTCAGAAACTCCATTCACAGCTTCAACCTCAAAAGTGTAATTGGCGTGGGCCAGCAGGTCCATGACAGTGACATAGTTATCCTCTAAGCCACTCTGCTGGGGCATGTAGCCGATGTTACTCCCACAAGGAACGCACTCGCCCTGCTCCCAACTGCACCGCTTGCACAGTATCCTGTAGGTCACGTCGTTCCTTCCCCCGTTGTCCGCAGGAGGACTCCATTCCAAGCTGACTGTGGTTTGGTTGATGTTGAAAATGAGGTTCTGTGGTGCAGATGGAGGCCCTTCAGAAACCAAAAATAAATAAATAAACAAAAACGAAAGAAAGAAAGAAAAGCCAACAAAATGCACCCAAGGCCCACGTGCTGCATTCAGCTGGCAGCTGAATTACCATACAGAAAACTAGCCGCAATGCTTTCTTTCACATAAACATTTCATTGCCTTTCCTAGAGAAGCCATATAAAAGCCTCCTTGAATTCACTTGGCAAGGGGCTTTATTTATTTTCCATTTAATATGTCAAAATGAAAACAGGATAACAACTGTCTTTGTACTTTTGCTACAGTCTTTAGCTACTTTACTTCCAAGCAATTAAAGAAGAACAGTTAATGCACCTAAAAAAACAGTTGTGAAGTTGTTCGAAAATAGTTTTCTTTTTAAGCGTATAGCAGAGAATACACCTATTCATTTTTAATGCGCTCAGGAATGATTTATAGGACTGTCTGGAATTTGGTTTGGATTTGGGTCTCTCAAGCACTCATTAATTGAAGCACCACGATGTGAGATTTGTTCAGTTTAGTGATGGAATTTTAATTTGCAAACCATTACTTTTTAATTGCATTTCATACACATGTAAGACTCAAAAAAATAACTTTTTACATTTTAGGATTCCTATTAAATAGATGTGAAAAGTATTATTAAAAAGCATCTTGATTTTGAAAACATAAAAATTACATTGCAGTTGAAGTGAGATGTATTTTACATTATTGGTTAGCCTTAGAGGTTTATGAACAAATTTTAAATAATAATAATTCAGATTTGTGAATGTATTCACAAATTCTATGCCTATCTCAATGACAGGAAGGAATCTGAAAGTCCTTTTGTAACTTTACTAATACGAACTTACTTGTGCATGCAACATATGGTGGGTCAGATGGAGCCCTATAATATCCATCCTCACATTCACATCTTGAAGAACCTTCTTTATCAGAAAAACTGTGAGTTGGGCAGCGAGAGCACTGAAGGTCTTGAGAGGAAGATTTGTAGAACCCGCGGCCACAGGCTGAGTATACAAAAGAAAGAGAAAATAGAAACATGAGAGCAAGTAGACCTTTCTTCACTTTCAATAACATTTTGCAAAGAATACAGTATAAAATATGATTTGTGAAAAACAAGCTGTTTATGATTAACACTAGAGGCCCAGTGCACAAATTTGTGCATGGATGCAGTCTGGATGGCCTGCCCCAATTGGGGCTGATAGGGGGCCAGGCCAGCCAAAGGGAGGGGCCGTGGGAGATGGCCAGCTGGCCCTGCCCACTTCGGGTAGGTTGACTGGCTGCAGTGCTTGTCATACTGAATGGTCATTCCAGTTGTTCAGGTAGTTTGGCATATATATATATATATATATATATATATATATATACACACACACACACATATATACAGTACATACACATATAGTAGATTTCATATTAGTATATATCAATAACCATACTACATTTTAAGACAAAATAATAAAAATCAAATGATACAGCAAACTTGTACCTATAGTTGGCATCAGTTCAAAGTCAAGAGCCCCAAACTAAACATAAGCATAATTTATTTAGATAAAATCTTAAAATATTTAAATGAGAGTAATGTCAATTTTAACAGAATTAACTTGTTTGTTAAACTGCATTAACATACTCAAAAAGTTATGTTTTCTTCATAGAAAATAGCTGTAGCCCTACCCAGTTTGGCTCAGTGGATAGAGTGTCGGCCCACAGACTGAGGGGCCCCAGGTTTGATTTCTGTCAAGAGCACATGCCTGGGTTACAGGCTCAATCCCCAATAGTGGGTGTGCAGGAGGCAGCCAATCAATGATTCTCTCATCATTGATGTTTCTATTTCTTTCTCCCTCTACTTTGCTCTCTAATATCATTAAAATATATTTTTTAAAAATATAGCTGTAAATTAACATTTTGTGTTAATTTTACTTATAATGAAAAATATAAAAAAATAAGCTTAATCATCTACTAAAACCAACAGTGTAAATTATTTTCACTTGAAAATGATAGAAATTTATTCTCTTCCAATTTTCAGGAAACTTCAAAATATAACAATTTAACAGGTTGCTTTCCACTAAGTGAACTCCCTTGTCAATAAAAATTATGAAATCTTGTAAATAGGAGACACCTATTTAACCAGAATTAAAGAGAAAGCCATCAACTGTAAACAGACTGAGGACTTTTTCTCCCCTCCTGAGAGAAACTTAGGGTATAGTCACACTAACAAAGCAAATTCTCTCATGATGAATATATAAGTATAGAAAACATCACTATCATCTCCTACTGAAGTTGTTTTTACCCACTTACATCCTATTTATTATTAAATCATGTACCGTTGAACCATTTACTATCACTGAATATTTTCTATATTTATTTTCAATTAAAATTTAGCAAACTAAAATTATATTATCTCAACAATTTTTATTAACAGATGGTATTACACATGGAACATATTAAATAAATTCAATGTATCCTTCATATTTTTAAATGAGTATTTTTAAGCTTTAGTGACCTTCAAATTTAATAGAAATTAATAAATCATATCTATTGTATAAAGATTAGTTAATATTTAACCTACATTTATATTTAAGTTTATTTAATGTTCTTAGCTTGGCACTATTCAGTAACTGAATCACATATTCACCATTTGGTAGGAAAAACAATCTTGTTTTATTAAGAAGGTATATTCTCAAAAAAAATGAATTATTCTCTATTTTTGTTCACATGCTGATTTTTAACTCATGATTTTGATACATTTGAGAGTTCAAAATCACCTTCTGAGTTTCAAAAAAATAAGCCTCCTTTACAGGAGCAAGATTGGTATTTTTAGATAACTTAGAAACTTAAAGATCTGTTATATTGTGAAAGATAAGTGGTAGATACAGAAACAGAACTACAATCAACTCTTTGTAAATATAGCATACACTGCTGAGCTCAAAAGCCAGTCTGCCTTTGGTTGGCTTCCTCAATTCTTACAAGAGGAAAACACACATAACATATTAAGCAAAGAAGCTTAATGTACCGTCACATGTTCTCAGTAGCAATTACTACAAATCCAAGACACAGAGAGAACAATAAAATTGATTGCAAAATAATATAAAAAATATAACACTTAAAAATGTTTATAAAGATAAGATCTTGACACATAAAAGAATGGTGAACTACTAGGTTAAAGAAATGAGAATGGATTTCCCAGCCTTTAAGTATTTATTGTTTCTTGCTTGAAGTATTATCTGTAATTCAACATCCAGATATACCATCCATAAAATAGAGAAGGCAATGCTTTATTCACAACCTGCAGCTTGATAACATTAAGTCCCAGAGAATTGAAAAAAAAAAAGAGACAGTAATAAAGAGAAGGAGAGAGAAGGAAGAAGGGAGAGAATGATATGTTGAGTCTTTGATGATATTATGTGAATATTTAAGTAGGTTTTATAGAGAGAGGAAGTTAGGAAGTAGGGAGATGAAAACACAGTGGCAACATGATTTAACATCTACAAGGTAAGTCTCCCAGAGTTACTAGGCAGCAAACTACCTAGTGGAATCCTTTGAATTCCTATGCTCGAATTGCAAGTAAAAAACCTCTAAAGAAAGGCTTATTCCTGTTTTCCTCATTAACAAGGAGGCACATTTTTTTTTTCTCTCAACATACATGACTTATAGAATATATAGGGTAGGAAACTATAAAATCCTTATCATTCAACTTCCAAATTTACATTAAATTCTGTCACCACTTTAACAGATGGGAAAACAGATTTGAAGCAAAAGTAACCCAAGTTCTTCAAATAATCCCATTTGTCTAGGTTAAAACTGGTTTTTAGAACACAGGACCACTGATATGCAATCATGCCATTCCACCAGTGTCCACTGCTGAATGAACCAGGATTTGGCACTGATTCAATGGCTCTCAAGGGCTTTAGCAACCCTAAAAATTTATTTTCAACGTGTCCCTCTTTCTTTAATTTATACTCCTAATTTAAAGCTATTTTAACTTACAAAACTATGAAATAATATCCTAACATACCTACAGAAGAGATATTAAATTGGTAGTCTCAATTTCATTATAAATTTTGTCACTGAAAATTCCTGCAAAATTATGGAGAGCATGCATGGCTATTATTAAATGGATAATGATAGAAACAATATTGGAAAATGTGGTCATAAAAGTCTTAACATTTTTTCTTTGAAGTACTATTTTGTTTCAGTTCAGGTAATATTGAAAATAATGAGTTGTAACAGGACAGTTTTTACTTAACTTCTATGAAACTATTAATTTAGACTTATTAAAAAGAAATACAGGAGTCCTCCCTTATCCATGGATTGGCTTTCTGTGGCTTCAATTACCCATGGTCAATTGGCATGGCTCTGTGATCAAGAATCACCCAAAGCAGATGATTCTCCTTCTGATTATTGTCAAAGGTCAATAGTCACCTAGCCAATGTCACATTGCCTATTCCACCTCACTTCATGTCATCATTATATCATCATCTCACAACATCACAAGAAGGAGAAGGAGTATAGCACAACTGGACTTTAAAAGAGATAATCCACATTCACTTAACTTTTATTATAGTACATTGCCATAATTGTTATCTATAATAATGAAAGCATAATATGCTAATTAGACCGGACATCCTTCTGGAAGTCCCTCCATCCTTCCAGACAAAGCTAGGGCTGAAAGGGAAACTCGGGTCTTGAGTGCCTGCCGGAGCCAGAGGAAAGCCCGGGTCCCAGGTGCCGAAAGGAAGCCTGTGCTGGGAGCCTGGGGAAGGAAGGCCTACTATTGCACGCATTTCGTGCATGGAGTCTCTAGTTTTAATATAGGTTACTAGAGACCCTATGCACGAAATTTGTGTGGGAGGAGGGGGCCCCTCAGCCCTGCCTGTGCCTTCTCACAATCCAAGATCCCTCAGGGGATGTCCAACTGCCAGTTTAGGCAGGATCGGGCCTAAACCCGCAGTTGGGCATCCCTCTCACAATCTGGGACTCCTGGATCCTAACCTGCTCACTCCTTACCACTGCACAGAGGTGGATGAGGCTCCTGCCACTGCCGTTGTGCTCACCAGCAGTGAGCCTGGCTTTTAGCTGAGTGGCACGCCCGCTATGGGAGTACATGAACCACCAAAGAGCAGCTCCTGCATTGAGCGTCTGCCTCCTGGTGGTCAGTGTGCATCATAGCAACCAGTTGTTCTGGTCATTCAGCCATAACAGTCACTGGGCTTTTATTATATAGATTATTGTCAATCTACTGTGCCTAATTTATAAATTAAGTTTTATTATAGGTATAAGTATGTAAAGGAAAAAAAACAAAACACATAGTATATACAGTGTGAGGTACTATTCATGGTTGCAAGCCTCCACTGGACATCTTGGAATGTATCCTGCACAAACAAGAGGGGTTTCTGTTCAAAATTTTTGGACCTATGGTATTAAGTCTATAACGTGCATCAATATAAGCTGTCTCTTAGGATAACTGTGAGCAATTGGGTGGTTAAAAAGTTTGCTAAGAAAGTAACAGATGCTCAGAAAAATTACAATTTTAGATGAAATTGCTACATGAAATAACTTCAGTAAAATACTCAGTGACAGAAACTGGAGTGGAGTGACATATCTGACAGTCAGCCGCATAGGAAGAATAAGAGGAGTTCTCGAAATGGCTCCCAAAAAAGGCTACCTGAAAAGCAAGACCATTTATCTTCTATGAATGCAGCTGGTTTTCTAAAAGATAATAATAAAAACATTTTTAGGGGTAAATGACTTCCGAGACCTCAAAAAGGCCAATTCACTTCATACATAACTAAAATATACAGAAATAACTTAGTAGGAATCATGCGATCACAGTTTTAAAACTTTCCTTTCTTCACTTTCTTTCTCAATTTGTTCAATAGCATTTGAACTGAAAGCAAACTTTAATTAAAATAGTATGTGCCTATGGTAAAGTTAGTTACAATAAAAAACATACCATTTTAATTTCCTGCTTTTTGATGTTTTTGCTTTTTAACTTAACATTGCATTT